TCAGAGGCGGTAACCTGTCATCTTATGTCAGTCACTTGCTGATGTACAATGGCCCCTGGTCACAATTAGAGTCCTGGGGGCTGGGCGTGCAAGTATGAGCAAATGCACATGCCCATTATTAACCCTTAACCCCCCACCGAGAGCTCTTAGCTTGAAATGTCAACGTGCGTTTACTTGAATTTTTCCTTTGCAGGGGCTGATGCTGCCCATCAGCGTGACAACTGAGAAAGACCCTCTAGAATGGGCCTCAATGCTCAGTGGGTCAGACAACTGTACTGTACTGCTGTATACTGGGCTGAAGACTGCACTCAGTGACACATGAGCAAACAAATAAGATTCCTTAACCATACAGAATAACCCCTCGATCTGTCTAACCCTAGCTGCTCGCAGTATCTGATGTTCCAAAGTCAGTGTGTGGATTATTATTATTGACAAACAAACTGTCCTGTTTTTACAGCTCTCTAGTTCCCTCTTCTGGCAAGCAGATAACCAATCATGTCACATAAGTTATAATATTACCCAGTACAACTATTTGATGACTTTCAGCTAGTGCTTATGAAAGTTTACCTTAAGAATCCCTGTGGGTATTAAAATGTGTCTCACTTCTGTATTCTACTCAAGGAACAATCATAGAGGCAGCTAACAATACTAGCACACTATTAAAATGAAGCAGAGGCATTGGAACAATACTACATGTTGCAGATAATGAAGCAAAACCTATGCGGAATGTAGACTTGAATAGTTAACTTATAGCATCACAAGCACTGTAGTTACTACAACACTGACGAAGCCATTAATTAAGACTACAACAATAGTATATTTAACTCCATACTCGCTGAATAGATTCCAGGACGAAAGGTGTTTCCGTCTTTCACGGATGTCACTGAATTTGTTATATTATTCTATACAATGTTGTATGTTATTAAATACTGTATCTCTTTGCGCTTCAAAAAAGTAAAATAAAAGAGTCCAGGAAAAATGTGCCTTCATTACAGCTGTAATAAATAGATATTGCTTCATAATAAGGAGTCAATCAAAAATAATTTCTGGAACTACTGGACAAGACCGTAACAGTTTTAACATGCAAGTCCAATCCACTCAAAATGAAAAACCTGCCGTTATGACGTCTGACTGTGATAAGATTTTCTATATTCTCCTGCATTGATGTTGAGGTGTAAGAGTTAAAAGGCTAAGAGTTTGTTTGTTGGATTGTATGTGCAGAGCAGCAGGGGGGGGGGGGGGGGATGCTGATGGGGAGCAGGAGGAGGGTTTGGCAGCAAGGTGTTGGAAGGTAAAGCCAGAGCAGACCATCCTGATCGGCCTGCAGCCAGCACACGTGTGATAGCAGAACCCTGTGTTCTATACCGAGCAGGTGCAAAGGCCTTGTCTCTTCTCTTTTCATCCATCCCTCTCTCAGTTTTGGCTCTTTGTCTTTTAGGCGATACATTCATCCTGGTTTCTCTGTCACATCTCTCCATTTCCGTCCCTACACCTCCTTGCCCCCCCCGCTCCGCCTGTTTAATACTTTATTTGCTCCAGATAACACATCAGCTTCAACGCCCATCCACAAACTCTGTCACCATGATGCCCACAGATGGCAACTTCCTGTGGTCCTGCCCAGTGATTGGTGGAGAGACTTCCAAACAGAGAACAGCTGGTGAGGGATGATATATCACCCAGCGTTTGCACTTTCATTTTCAGGGTTGTCTTGTTAATGCTCCCAATCCAGCATCTGGCAGGAAATAGACACAAAGGCAGAGAGAGGGAGAGAACAACCTGTTCTTTGGCAGACCTTAACAAAAGGCTGACACATGCCTGATGAACACACAGAGCTGCAAGAGAACATACACAACTGCCATGAATATGAACGAAGAGGCTTGAAGCAAGTTTAAAAGAGACTAGATAAGAGGATGTAAACATTTTCTGCAATAGGTCATTGTTAAGAGAAGGACATCATAAATAGACCACCACTACTTTTTATTGACTTTTTATACTATGCTGTTTTCCTGACATTTTTATTGTGATTTTATCTTAAAGCACACGTTATGATTTAAAAAAAAAAACTTTTAGAAAACATTACCACTATGATTTCTTTAATTGACATTTTTAACTGTGACTCTTTCAATACTATGACTTTCTTTTGACTATTTTAAGACTTACTATACTAGTTTTATATTGAAAAAAAAATCATAGTACAGTATGTCGAAAATATTGAAAAAATATCATTGTATAGTATGTCTGAAAAAGTCATAGTATGGTATATCGAAAATATTGATAAATAATCATAGTATAGTATATCGAAAATATTGAAAAAATATCATTGTATAGTATGTCTGAAAAAGTCATAGTATGGTATATCGAAAATATTGATAAATAATCATAGTATAGTATATCGAAATATGTTGAAACAAGTCATAGTATAGTATTCGGAAAAATGTGAAGAAAAGTCATAATATATTGTAAAGTTTGAAAACAGGCCTAGTATGTTGAAAAAAGTCATGACATAGCAGGCCTATGTCGTAAAATAAAGTCATATGAAAAAAGTCAAAATATAGAATGTCGAAAAAAAGTATATTGGATTTTGTTTTTATTGTTATTAAAGATGACCATAACAATAGGGGCCGGTGTGTTAGTGCCATTATTTTTGTTTTTATAAAAAGGGTCACCAAATCGTGACGTCTGTAGTCAACAAAGTATAAAATACTAAAACCCCACAGCGCCTTCTCTAACAGAGACAGAGATGGGCAACCTGTCAGAAAGACGCCGTCGAGGCAGTTTTTAACCGTTCAACTACGGTTTAAGTTACCAATAACGTTATACAAGCCTTAACATAGAAAGAAAGAAAGAATACCTAAGTTGTTTATTATTTTATTTGAGTTTTGCCTCTTTTGTTTGATTTGTTTTGACTATTGTAAAGGCCTGTTTTCTTTATATCTGTGTACAAGTTTGTTATTTTATTTTTTTAATGATGCCCTCCTGCCATTAACAATTAGGGGCCGGTGGGTTGGAGCCATAATGTATTTTGTTTGTGTTATTTGATCTGCACAAGTTGAACGTAACATGCAGTTCAGACATTGAACACAGGATGGAGCATTCATTTGAGAGTGCATATGTAATCACCATAGACTGTATATGGTAATCACCTGGTGGTCAGAATCAGCTGTGTGGGACGGGAAGCAAACAGTTACTGACCGTGTCGAGATAAGCTGTGTGTTAACCTGTTTGTATCCAGCGTGACTGGCATGCATATATTGTTCTCTGAATGGTAATGTGGATACATTCATTAAGGTGAATGTATTGGACACAAAATAAATGGATCAATGGATTCAAAGATATACGACTCATATGGACATTGTTTTATAGTCTGGAACACGCGTCCGAACAAGTTCTCCCGTTCGCATCCCTCAGTGGTTTGAATATAGATTAGGTTTTAAAGTCACTACAGACGTGTTCATGACTTTTTCTATAACATAGCCTACTATACTATTACTATAGTGGTTTTTTAAAAGCTAGACTATAATATTAATCTTTAATGACTTATTTCATTATATCCCTTACTTTGACTTTGGGTCATGATTTATTTTGTGACCTACTATACAATGTTTTTTTGATGGCATACTCGATAAGGACATTTTAAGTGTGACATTATTACTTTTTTGATGACATACTGAAATAAGGGTTCTTAAAGTGTTATGACTGAGAGTAAGGGAGCCTTCATTTAAGGGTGCATTGGTTGTATCTCTCTATCTATATTAATAGTTTAGGTGAAAATGTCGAAGGAGCAACCTTACATTTTTATGTGGACGATACCGTTATGTACTGTGCAGGTCCCTTGATTAACGAGGCTGTTTTTAACATTATTCAGGCTCAGCTCTCTGAGCTTAAGCTTCTTTTAAATGTGGATAAAACCAAGGTAATGCTCTTTTCTAAAGCTAAAGCTAAAAATACACCAGAGACTGCTTTGGATATTGTAACGCAAGGAATACAACTTGAAGTGGTTACCTGTTACAAATACCTGGGTATCTGGCTTGATGATTGTCTCACTTTTAAACTTCATGTCAATAACCTGCTTAAAAAGCTGAGGGTTAGGCGAGGTTTCTTTTTCAGAAACAAGTCCTGTTTCTCGCTTGAGGCCAGGAAAAGGCTAGTCACTGTGACCTTTTTACCTGTGCTGGATTATGGTGATTTGTTATATATGAATGCACCTGCCAATTACCTGAGCAAGTTAGATGCTGCGTATCACAGTGCACTGAGATTTTTGACAAATTGTAAAGCACTTACGCATCACTGTACCCTGTATACCAAGGCGGTTTTGCCATCACTTACTGTACGGAGGCTCAGTCACTGGTACTTTTTCATTTACAAAGCCATGTTGGATAAACTACCATCTTATATCTGCTCCCTGATCTCTCTGCAAATTGAAAGTACTTATTGCCTGAGATCGCATGCTGTGGTTTTATTAAATGTGCCAAGTGCTAGGACTGTCTTAGGGAAGAAAGCTTTTAGATGTGCAGCTCCACTAACATGGAACAGTCTGCAAAAAGAATGGAAATTACCAAGCTAGTACCACTACATGTTTTTAAAGCTCGGTTGGATGCTACTCAATCAGATGCTGTTGGTACCTGTACATGTGGTTAGATATGTAAATTGTAATCCCTGTACATTTTGCTGTATGATGTCCTTTTGTTGTTCTGTTTATGTTTTTATGTCTTCTTGTGGAACCTACTGCTGCAGGTCTCCCTTGAAAAAGAGATCATTGATCTCAATGGGATTTTACCTGGATAAATAAAGGTTTTGAATTGAATTGTAATCGTTTGTAACTGGAAGTGTTAATGAAGTTGTTAAATGTATTTAGGTATTAAATTATCTCCTGCATTTCCATCCTAGGTCTTCCTGTTAATTGAAAGGAAAACGACCCGCATTGAACACCAGAGGGAGCTACTGGACAACCAACTGGACCTCAACGCTTCAGTAAATTGGTATCAATGAAAAGAGCCGACTCACAAAAAAACAACAACCTTTAATACCTGGTGTCACAGTGTTAGTGAAATTGTAGATATAATGAGATGCTGAGTCTAAGTTGTCCAACTTATCCAAATATGCCACTTTACAATGTTGATATCTTTGTCCCAGGTCAATTAATTTTCAATTACTGACTAAACAAGAGACATTGTTTAATATCTCTAAATACAGAAGTCTGGCGTACAGACAGCATTTCCTCTGACAAAAATACACTTACTGATGTGACTGAAATGTCATTGACCATTACACCTGCCAACCCTGCTCTTAAACAGACAATGCATACACAAGAACCTATGACGTAAAACAGGTGTATACAAAAATCAACAAAAAGGTAACAGACAAATGAAGCCAACCTGTTAAATATAGGAAGGCAAACCGCTGTATATCATATGGCTGAACAATACAAATATATTGTTCAAAATTAAATGAAAACCGGACAGCTGAATGATAGTGACAAAGCTACCATTCCAAAGATCTTTAGAGGCTACAATATTGTTATATTTAACATGTAGAAGTCAGAGAAAAATCATGCAGCTTCATCTCTTGACACAACCGGTTATAAAATATAAATTGCTGCTTGTAACCAAACTTGATCTTAGAATAGTTGCAAAGTAGACCTTAAGCTCTTGTAAAACAAACTTTATCTTGCTTCAAGGGCCAAATCCTAGGAACAAGCCATTTACTTGGTCAAAGTGTCCTTTTTCAACACCTGTGCTGATGTTTCACCTGCTCCAGTATAGGGCTTTATATTGAGCCCTTACAAGCTTCTATTGTAGAAAACAATATGCAAATGCAGTGATTGTAAAGTTTGCCGTTTGGCCCTTTTATGTGTGTTGCATAATAATACCTGTCGAGTGGTGCCAGCAAACCTAAGTAAAAGAGAATGTTGTGTACAAAAATGGAAGTGGCCATGATTTTGATCGACTTTAGTTTGTACCTGCTGAAGACTTCGATGGTGGTGAAAGTTGTGTTTAAATTAATATTTTTGTACTTTTGCTATCAGAGCCCTGATGACAATAAAAATGATAAAAACCCTTAAAAAGTATGGTTTCAATCTCTCATATATATTGACTTCTTTTGAGTATTGTTTTCATCTGCTAATCTCCCCTGTTAAACACAGCAGGCACCATACCACGCACATCACAGATCATATCAAGAAAACAATGAAACCCAGATACAGTGAAGCGTTTACATAAAGAAGCATTAAAACGTTTTTTCCACCCTGTAAAATACATTACAAATACATGGTCAAAATGCACATACAGTGGACAGCTGTTTCCTTATCTGTTCCAGGAAATCTGCTTGGCACGATTGTCATTAAAACAACAAAAGCTTGAAGAATTCAACTATAATTTTGGGAAAAGCACCACACTTTAAAAGTAGAAAATTGGACTGGCTTGAATATCAAATGATCATGCTCATACAGTAGGGGAGGTCAGTGAAAGCAACACAGGCTACAGGAAAAGTATTCAAATTGTAAGGCTACTACCAATAAAGAGGATTCTCATACAGAGCAACTTAGTTAAATGTAAAAGGACTGGAACGAGTTGCAGACTGGCTACTCACTGTTCATCGTTTTTTGGTAACTGTAGCTCCATTTCTCATGAAACGCTACATAAAAAAGCAGTAGTAAATGGCTTGTCAGAACATTAAAATGGCTGGTATGAAATGCATGGTAAGAAAAAAACAAGAACACAGGCAGTCGTAGTGAGATAATTGGTTTATAATTAAATGTGTTCACCTTTGTTCCCTTACTTACTTAACATTGTTTTACTGAAGCAATTTCCCCTCACTGAAATGAAGATGACCAAATAAAAAATGGCCAAACCCTGTTCTGGTTTACAAACTTCAAATATAGCGAAAAACAGTAACATAAGACAAGGAAGATGAAAATAAAATGGATATTTTTCTGAATAACTCCCTGATTAAATAAAAGTCATGATATGCAAATATATGGTGACATTCTGCAGCTTTCACTATATAAACCTACTCATGACATAAAGTTGTTTATGATAAATCCATAGCCTTTTAAGAATGTTAATGTACAAACTTGCATAGATAAAGTGATATAGTATAGAGCAGCTTAATAATGACATGCCCAAAAACAGAACATTCTTTTATAGGCTCTTCTGATGCCCCTTGCAGGGAATAGCTGCTTGTTGTTGGAGTACCAACAAAACAAAACATCGACACTTGGACCACTAACATATGCAAGTTTGCAATTTGGGCAGATATTTGTTAAGTCTCAAAGAGTGGGAGCTCTGAGTTAAACTGTGAGTTATTTTGCAGCTCTCCTGCTCAAAAAGACTTAGGAAATACAGGCCATACAGTAGGTCACACAAAACATCAGTTTAGGACAGCTGTTTTTTTTGTCTTCCTTTAGTTTTTTACAGTATGGCTATTAACAGGGTGGCATATGGATGACATCATAGACTCATCTGAATATAAAGGGCTTCACTGACTGTCTGTAATGCTTTTAAACATGCTTTCCCTGGGATTATTTGGACTTTAATTATTTTTAATGCACAGAGGAAATGCCTGATTCTCTGTCCTCAATTTAAGGCTCTTCATTTCTATTTGGCTAAACCACCACCTGGGGACTGAGAATTACAGGAGTGACATCTCTGTTATTGTGGTATTAAAATGGTTCCACAACGCGAGGATACAATGTCCTCGAATAGACTTAACGTTGAACTTAAAGGGGAGTACCACTCAATTTGGGAAATGTCTGGATCTAAGAACAAAACAATCTGTGACAGTTTTGGGAAACACACTCTTTCACAAGCATGTGCATAATGCCTGGAGGTGTGTTCAAGAAAATAGTAGAGATAGTATGAAAAACTTAGTTTTAGATTTGAGTGGCAATCCCCTTCAATAAGTGTACATAACAATTTGGAAAACAATCAAAAAGTACAACACAGACACTACTCTGAGCACAGTTCTATTAAAAGCAACCGGTTATAAAACATTGACATCATCAAGAGGACGTGCTGTACATCGAGTTGAGAGTGATAACAGCCTCCCATCTCCTCTACCTCAGTCGTGAACATGAAGTAGAAATCATGTTCCGTGTGCAAATCGAGTGAACACCAAACATGCGTGGTGCAACTCTAATGCTACTGACTGAATCTGTAGAGCTACATTGAAGTGTGGTGGTGGGGAAAAAAGCTTTTGTTGCGTACGACCAACCGACAAAACAGAGTGATAAAGTAAAAGTTCTTTCTAAGCTGGCTCCTGCATTATATTGTCCATACAAGAGAAAAGCATTTATCTTCTTCGATTCTTCCTTTGTTTGCAGTGACGCGTCAAAATTCCACATCACAGGAAGGACTTCTCGAAGCAGCCCGGACGTTCTCCTCATCCCCAGACCACCAATGTCTGACACACGGACACAGTGGTCCTTAGACAAGTCTGACCTCCTCTGACCTTTAACCGTACAACCTCTCTTCAGCCAGGGTGTAGGTTCGCTTTCCTACCATGCCTCTCTCATGCAGAGCGATGGATCCCGAAGCGGCCGGGGGCTGGAGCGGGCACAGCCAGAAAAAAATGAAGCTGGTGGTAGGAGAGGAACGAAAAGGGATGAAAAGGAAATAAAACATGGCCTATCCATGAAGCATCCGGCTCCGATGGTGTGTTTAGGTTGGCAACGGGTCGTCATCGCCTTTGCTGCACTTGCACTTACAGCACAGGACGATGGGAGTGGCCAGAAGGAGGAAGGGGGAGGCCACCAGCAGGAGAAGGCCGAAACCAGCAAAAATCCCAACAACCTGCAGGGAGAGATCAGAAAGAGTAAATACATATGTAAATACAGTAGTTTAAACAAAAAGACAATGGTATTCCCTTCCATCCTTGAATCCTGCAATTTGCCCAGCTGATGGCACTAAATGCTCAAACGACATATCTTTAAAGCATAGTTGCTTGAAGACGCATCAGAAGCTATTTGAATACTACAGGGGATGTTGGCAATTTTTCACAAATGTATAACTGTATATTCTTTACTTATTGCTTTTTAAAAGCTCTAAATATACCATGTTTGCTGTTACGGCCTCTGTTCCAGCATCAACACTATTAAAACTAATTGGTTTAGTAGACCATATCAAAAATAAAATATATACATTTTTACTGATGGACTACAAAAACACTCAGCAATTCTCAACATTATTAGCTTCAAACTCTTTAATGAAATAAGCATGAATGTTGGTGAATTGCCCACATGGGGGCGCCAGACACCAGCAAGTTCAGAGCCCCAAAATGGAATACATAACATGCAGTCTCATGCAATAGTGACTTATTATAGCACAATGCTTTCCTCACGTTCTGAGGGAACAAATATGCTTTTCTAGGGTATTTTATTGGAAACAGTTTTCTGCTTTTAAGCACACATACCTAACTAACCTTCTCCCAGCTTGTATACAGGCTGTGCTGTATTGGAAAGCACAATGTGCTCTGAATCATTGATGATGCTTACATGTTTCGAACATGACTGTCCTTGTAACTGACGGTAGACATGGTGTAGACAGGGAGAAAATATTTGTTTTGTAAGATAGGTTTGCCCTGGTACATCTTGTAAGTGGATCTTTTAGATGTGGATGAGAGCGGGGAGTGAAATGAGGAGAGCAAGAGAGAGACAAAGACACAGAGCAGTGAAGCTATAGCCGTCTTCCACCAGCTGAACTGTAATCATATGACTCAGCCTGCCCCACTGGGCAACAGATGCCAGTTTATATGCTAATGTTGACAAAATAACAAGTATGTTGGACAAAGGGACGTGCCAACCCATAATAGGTTATTCTGCTAAGGAGGGATACTGAGGAGAAGTGAACACCAGAGTCGGCCTGTGTGGAAGATTTAAAACACATGTCATATCTAATCCCGATCATGTGTAATCCACCATTTTTCATGTGGAAAATTACATGTCATATCCAATCCTTTGTGTAATCCGTCATTTCATTTGCTAACCCATCGGTAAAGAAGGACCTTTGTTATGTAAACGTTTTCTCCTTTTTTTTGTTTGAAAGGTGTACATAATAGGCTTAGCTGAACACAGCAGGACTCCGACCACCAGGCACTTGGCGCTGCACGTGGATCGAGTTGTCCTTTTTCGTATTGTGCAGTCAAGATCATTTTAGCCCGTCACAGAAGGCTAGTGTTTGAGCGAGAAAGAGGCAGAACCCGGGAGCATGTGTGTGGCCACATGCTGCAGTGTGGTGAGTGTGAGAGAAAGGAGGGGGGGAGAGAAAGGAGAAGGGAGGAAGATGGGTTTCTCACCTGTGTTCTGTGCCAGATAACAGACGCCCTGGAGTGGCCTAGTTTGTTTCGACAGGGCCCTTTGTCATAGTGGATCAGGAGAAAGTCGTCCTGTCACACACACAAACACACACACAGTACAGGTAAAGATTGACCATTAGCAGCCTAAAGGACAAGGGCAGCTGTTCTGAGAAAATCGTTTTTTAAATGACCCACGTGGCGCGGTTGTCCGTGCCCACACAATTAAGATGACATAACGTACCACTGCTCATAAGTCATCCTTATCCAAGCTCAATTTCTCGAAAGAAAATCTAAAACATCTCATCCCTTTCTTATCAAGACCATGGTTAAGCTACAATTTCCTGTTAATAAAAGCTATTGCTGTCAATATGCAAATGATGTCTACATTTGCGCTTATCACATTGTGCAAACGGTACAATAATAAACTGTGGGGGCTTTTAGTCACGCTATTGCAGTATACATCAAAGTACAAAGAAGAGCGAAACTCACATCCAGGGACTCCAGACAGTACCAGCAGAAGGCATGTTTGCAGTTCTTGCACATCATCTGTGCACAGCCCTCATCCCTCTCGATGTAAACTTTACATTTAGGACAGCGCTTGATTGGTGCATCATCTTCTTCATTCTTATAAAAAGAGCTGGGAGGAAGAGAGACACAAGCCTGATGGGATTTGTATTCCAAACAACATTGAAAAAAGAAAATCACTCAACATTCGCTTTACCAAAAAGTGCTGGGGATGAGATTGCTTTAACGCAGCAATCAATACTTACAATCTCTGGCCTAACAGGATCGTGTGATCGCTAAAGTGCAGGGGCCGACAACTCTTCTCAAAACCACCAATCACTAAATGGCATCCCTCCAACACTCTTACCCTTCCATCTCTTGGTGTTGGTTTGTCTGTATCTATTTGTCATGTGTCAGTAAGGTGCTGCTGACCCTTGATAATATGGAGGTGAGCAGGTAGCGGTCATTCTAGGCCCTGTCCTAGGACCACGCACAATCCCACTTATTTCTAGTGAAGGATCCAGCTTTGAAAGACTTTGCAGTGAACAAGTGTAGCTCAAACCCTCTTTACAATTTAAGAGTAGACCGGTTAATCCTCTGTCTCTCTCCACGGTGGCCTTTGAGCTCGGTCCTGAACCTGCGCTGACAGAAGAAAGCTCTGCAGAGTTAATGAGGTTTCCAGAGTAAGAGGATATCTCAAAGAAACGGGTCAGCTGCATATGTCTCTACAGCAACTCTCTACTTACCTCACAGGTAGGTCATGTTTCCTTGAAAGGAGTAATAAGCCAGTCTCAAAAGGCTTTTATAGGAGTTTATATATCTGCCTATTAATTTGAGCTTAAACCCTGGTTGATGCACAGCAGAGCAGAGTCTGCAAAACAGCTAGCAGCTGTCGATACATATTAAAGGAGGCCCTGAATGAATCCTCCTGCATATTGACGGGAGGATCAGAGCTCCAGTCAGGCGAGATGAACATGGTTTATGATTCAGTTCTATGGGGTTGCATCTGCAGAAAGTCATATAGCAGCTCATACTGTCACAACATGACAAAACGGGAGAAATTCATATTATTTAATTGTAGAAAGATCATCATACATAAAATGTCAGAAAAAAAAGTATAAAAGCCAGGTTGAAACAATTTCTTTGTTTGATTTGTGCAACTAAGAGTCCAATAACCTAATACTTTTAGTTTGTTAAACATAAGTTCAAGACACCAGCAAACGTTCAAATGAAAGAAGCACAAAATACAGATATCTTGGCAATTGAGATAAAAAAATATATAAATGTTCTTATTAATTAACTGTGTAATATATTAATGCTGAATGCCTCCTTGATAGAAGCGTGTATGCATGCAGAGTATAAGGTATACATTCGGAAAACATGGATTTCAAAAGCAACTGTAAAGTAGATGGTAGAGGGATAAAGGCAGTACCTGTTTTCTCCTGGTAGGAAGGAGGTGATGGGCAGGTTGTGCTCCTGGCAGGCCTGTCCGGGGTGCCAGTTGGCCTTGCAGGCGGAGCAGAACTCCAGGGCACAGACGGCGCACTGGACCAGCTGGGGCAGCGCAGGAGAATCTGCTTCCTTCAGCTGGCACACGGCCTGGCAGGTCGAGGAAGGGCACCACGTCCGGCATGGGTCCAACAGCACCTCTGATGGAACAAAACAAGTGCCAGCGTCATGGAAAGCAGCTCTTTCAAACGGTTAGTTAACCAAAATTGTTTTCATTGGGAGGTTGTTTTCTTTTTGGTAGAAGGTCTTTCAAATAGTTTACCTTTCTTAATAATGTTTGGCCACCATGGTGCCTTGGCCGCTGATGTTTCAGAGTGGGAAAAACCCAGAACAATGTGCACAGAAAACCACAGCATTTCAAGTAAGGGATAATCAATTTACGACTAGAGATGAGCTAACCTTGCAAATCAATAAAAGCCTTTCGTCTAATACATATTTAGTTTAATGTACACTTTTCAAGGTTCAAATGTGTACATACTTATGATGGAAAATAGCTTTAATACAATAGGTAACTTTTGTCTTGATGCCTCTCACTCATTTCCACGACTTCTCCAAATGCTTTTGAATACGTGTGAAAGACACCAGATTTTGTGTTTTGCCAGTTATTTTCTAAGTTGGTAGCGTGATGCACTTGCCCTTGTATCCTCTCCTTCCTTCCCCTCGCCTCTCTGCCAAGAACTCAGAGCCCACATTCCTCATGCACTCTTGGCTCAGGCTGAGAAATATGGAACGGTTACAGCAACTGTTCTGCCCGACTGGACTGGGACATTGATGAGACGGCTGACTGCTCTATTGCAGGGGCTTTCTGAGGATTTGTATTCATCTACAGGACCCCCCAGTGTGTTCTTATGTATATTGTTTTGTTTACATGTATTTGTGCAAGTGAGATCTGCATGTTCTGTATACAAATTGAGCCCGTGTGTAGGTGGAAAACCTGCAGGGCGAGTACCATCTGAAAGCACGGCTTGGTTTCTTCATTCTCTGGTAGCGAGGGAACTCTAATATTGCCGATTAGCACGTCTGCACTGACAGCCAGGAGCGACACAGACACATCATCTATCCACCAACGATATCCAAGCCTATTACCAGTCACTTCACATTTATCCTACAAACAGTGTAAACCGCAGACATTGAATACATAGCGGCACACTGAAGCAGGGATAAAAGGATTTAACTAAAATATCTTGTCATGCTAAGAGACCTGCCGCATCACAGTCAGTCAGACAGTTTACGAGCAGAGAGCCGAACCAATCCAATTAGAATCTCTTTAAACAAAATCTAGGAGGCTTTCCCTTTTATGTATATTTGATGGGAGCTGGGGTTACACTTTGATGAGGATGACAGGGTTGAGTAGGAATACTACAGCAAGGTTTAGTACCTGTTGCAAGAATATTTCTTCCCTGCAGGATTGTTTGTGGTTAAAAGAAAATCAGATTGAATCCATATTTTTGGTATCAAAATCAAATGGAAAGACTTAATTCTAAAGCTGTTCAGTGACATGGACAGGTTTGCTGAACAAACAAGAATACTTTCTATTAGCTCTCCGCAGATGCCCCACAGCGTAATTCAAGAGGAAACATGTCCACATGCGTCAAAGGATATCTGACAGAGCGGCATCTTGGCTGCACTTTGAAGGTGGGATTGTCGTCATTCTTGCGTGTCATAATAATATACAGTCTCCTTAGAGGACAGGAGGGTCGACGTGAGTTTGTATACGACAGCCTTTGCCCACACACCACGCAGTGAGGAACGCTGGAGATAACACTGACACACTGCGGCTGCTTCTGCGTTGACTCACCCCTTTCAAACTGAAGCTTCTTGTATCTCTGCATCATCTCTGTGGCCACCATGCACTCGATCTACGGGGAGAGAAGGGATGAGAAGTGGGAGGGAAATAAGCAGGTCATTGTGCATATTAATAGACAGAAGCTGCAGGAAGCAATTGTGCATTCCGTATGTGAATATCATTTCATGTCAAATTCATATTCCTACAAGATCAGAACTTGCTACTACTTATTACACTTTCAGATGGAAAAAGATAATCCAGTTCTCAGAGTGTATTCAAAGTGCAGACACAGGCCAACCCAAGGTCAAAGGCACTCATTTATTGGGCAATGAAATGAGCATTGAGGGTTTGTAAAATAGCAGTCAATTACAGGGTGAGGACACCGCTGTCAGAGTAGACGGGATGATGCTCTGCCTGACTGGCAGGAGTAGCACGGGTTCCATTAGGGCCAGTGACACTGATTGATTAGAAACATAAGGACGGTGTGTTGAACCATGCGGTGCCTGAGGGCCTCCGTGAGCAAGTGAGAGGCTCGGTGAGTCCATGAAGCAAAGTGCCTGGAGAGCGAGGAACGCTTAGCCCTCAGAATGACCTCAGCTGCTCATTATAAAATAAACACACTGGCAGGTGGAGCACAGTGGTCATCTGGAGCTTTGAAGTATACCAAATGTTAGTTTTACCATTCTTAGCCTTTTATGTGGACCAAAAAAGCAGCAACATTGTAGAACGATTCTGAAATGAAAATAATAACTTTTAGGGATAAGTTTGGCCTATTTCAAGCATCCAGAATTCTGTAGACCATTGTGTGTATATACAAAAGTTTAAAATGTTTCTGGAAATTGCTGCGGTTTTGTCTTTTGGTCCTTGTCCGACATGTTGACAAGCTTGATTGTTCCGATAATGGCAACCAGTCACCACCAAAAGGGCAATTTAATAAAATGATGATCAAAGTAAAAAGCTGACATTTCCTTTTAATCAATCAATACCTCATTTTCCAGCAAGTGTCCTCTTTTGGGACAGGCAGAGTCTGGACAGCTAATTGCAGTTTCAAGGCCTTCTTTGATCAGGAGTTCAACATACTGCTTCAGGCACTGAGGAAAAAACAGACAGGCAGGCAAATAAGACATTGACCCAGTTCAATATCCAGTCAGTTGGATGGCAAAATTGAAAGTCAAATCAAACACAAACAACAAAGTTGGTAAACAAACTATAGCCTTAGTGTCTCGCTCTGTCACTATCTCTGTCTGTTGCATTAGAAAAAAGTAGCTTGTTGGTGAAGAAAATTAAGAATTTAGAGTTTAAGATTGATATATTTGAGTGAATATTTGACTTTCTATGTCAAGAAATACAAAAACAAACACAAAGGATGTTGCTGCCAAGCTGGAAGTTAAAATATACTGTTCAACTTTATAATGTTATACAATGTTGTGTTTATAGATCTTAATTTTTTTTTACATGAAATGAGCATTTGAAGCATATCAGTGAGATATATATGGTTGCAAATGTACAATTATGGAAAAAACAGATACTTAGAAAGGCTGAAAAATCATGAAATGTGTGAAAAAAAACAGCTTGAGATAAAAGTAGCTTGAGTGAGATAAAGGCTGTTTAACCTCTTGTGAAATAAACTGAACCACTTGAACTTTGGTGATTTCTGCCACCGCCCAAACTGAGTTCTAGGAAGTGGCTTCTATTTTTAGCTCTTGGACATTGTTTCCTCATCTCTGGACTAGATTGGATCTGACAGCCAATGAGTGTTATATTGCTTTGTCCCAGCCTTTTCACACGGTACCACCGTAACACAGTAGGAATGGAGATTAGATATAGATCCTGAGGTCATTTCTACATTTTAAATCAGGAAAATCCCGTGTGGCTCTGATTAATTAACTCTACCTCTGAAAAAATCAAGTTGTAACATCTTTCAATATCGCTAGACGGAAAATAGTTTTGACTTTTAATCAAATTGATTTGTAGATCCTATATTTCTAGTATACAGGATATGTGTTACTGTTTCCAGAGCGCCCTCCTCACCAGTGTACAGAAGACACATTGGCACTGTGTGATGGTGGTCATCTGCTCCAGAGGGAACTCTCCAAGGCACAGCTTACACGACACCAGGGGGTCCACGGCCAGCTCCCATGTGGGACGGTACCGTGCCGTGGTCATCTTCACCGCCACTGAGCTGCAACACAGAAAAAAAGAGGGGAAAAAGGTCAGAGGGCTATGGTTAATGAAGCGACACACACACACACACACACACACACACACACACACACACACACACACACACACACACACACACACACACACACACACACACACACACACACACACACACACACACACACACACACACACACACACACACACACACACACACACACACACACACACACACACACACACACACACACACACACACACACACCACACACACCACACACACACACAACACACCACACACACACACACACACACACACACACACACACACACCACACACACACTACACACACACACACACACACACACACACACACACACACACACACACACACACACACACACACACACATCACACACACACACACACACACACACATTTATATCCATTCATTATTCTTCTGGTAAAGACAATAATTACTCCTGAATCTCTTTTGCCTATCAGCTCTCTCAGCTCCTTGTTACATTTCCACTTTTGGATTAAACAACACTTTTTTTTTCTTCTCTACGCTACGTCATGACATTCAGAAAGGGTTATTTTAGGCCTTCTCGTCTCACTCTCCTTCCCTCTGCAGCTGAGAGCGAAGAGCACCCACTCGGCTGTTTACAGGAAGTGGTACCGAGCACACAACGTCAACACCGTCATGCTCCCCCCGTGCTGCTTAGCAACCAGCTGAAGGAGGATTTTCAGAGGTGGAAGGGGCAATGGCTAGGAGGGAGAGAAGCAAGGCCGAGGAGAAGAGACAGGGTGACATTTCCTTTCACTAGTCATGGTATAGTCGGCCTCAATTTGCAGCTGCTTGATCATAGACATACAGGAAGTATGGGAGCAAAGAGGTTGAAGAGTTCACGTGCTGCCTTCATTGACCATTGTGTTGTATATATATGCCACCCAGAGAAGGGAGTGGAGAGAAAAAGAGAGACAGTGTGTTCTGGTTTACCAGTAATTATATCATTTCATACCACAACGCATTTCGAGGGTAGAATAAAAAGCCATCCACCATGGATGAACGTCAATAGGGTGCGAGGTGAAGGCAAGCCACACATACACAAATATACATAAAAATAAAGCAGAGAATAATCTGCTGTGAAAATGAGGCGAATGCAGGGAGCCATGTGATAGGCTGTGGCCTTTGGTGTTAGCCAGATGGTGTGTCTCCATCTAATTTCTTTTATCTCATATCCTATTCTTGCTCCACACCAAATACAGAACAATATTAGGTATTCCATTCAGTAAGGAAGTCTCACTTGTCTTAATGCAGCTCAAGGAGAGAGGAAAGAGGAAGATTCCCAATGGGTACTTCAATGAGGATACATGAGTACATCCTAGTGGGAGTCTATTATTAGACAGACACTCATTGGAAATCTGTGAGCGATCGAATGCTGCAGCTGATGAGGTGAAGCATCACTACACTTCACTGCGGTTAAACTACAGGAAGTGACAGAAGAAATAGCAGCAGAAATGTAGGTATGGGAGGATGTTTCTTATTCATCATTTGGACATTTGCTGGATATATATAGTACGTCAAATGAGAGTTTTAGAAGAAAGATCTGCTTTTTTCACAACATGAATCTTGGCATGGTCAAAGAAATGTAATGTCCACTTATTTTTCCCAGTTTCCCCTATCATTTTGGGCAGAAACAGAATAAACTTTTTTTTCGCTTAAGAGATTCTTCAACACATAATGACAGAGCATCATCACCCACATTTAGCAAGACAGGAAACTATAAATATGTGCGAACAGCAGGTGCGAATATAAAAAGCCAATTAATAGGAACAAATCGGCTTGTCAAAAATCGCTGATTTATCAGATGACATGCAAAGCATTTCATGACATTGTGGTAACAAAAGACGGTACAGAGAAGCTAAAAGCCTATTCTCAGGTGACCCAGCTGTGTTCCCGGTAAATGATCCTTTTAGATCGTGCTTGACCAGGAAAAATGTCCTACTTGATAACATGTGATACCCTCAATTCTTCCTCCTTTGCATCTTTTCATCGTGTCAGGTAGGAGGACAGAGGAGAGTATTGCAAAGTAGGAAAACATGAGATGAACCTCATGTCTGACTCACTCAAATCACCTGGCATTCATCCATCTATCCACCATCCATCACACTGACCAGAGTGCTGAGGAAGCTTTATTATGTAGGTGCGCAGCTCGTTTACAAAGGCTTAAATGGCAATTTGTTATCAGGATGGAGCCACAGATTTAAAAACATGATCCTCTGGGGAGTGAATGTGCTTTGGTGGTCCAAAATATGACATGGAGACGGCCTTTACAACCGAAGAAGTCTAATCACAGTTGGAAAATAGCCATGTTTAGGTATTTCAGTGCAAACAAGTGGCATGTACGATACCATAATACTTTAATGGTCGGATCAAGTCTCAAATTTGACATGCATCACAGCAGCTCCATTTGCAACATCAACATGGACAAATAGCAAGACACAATACATGAACAAACTAACATTTAAAGGTCACATATTATGCAAAATCCACTTTTTCATGTCTTTTATACATAAACATGTGTCCCCTCACTAAGTTCACTCACTTTTTGTCCTGATCCATTTATATAAAAACCTGTCAGATTTTGGCCACTTTATGATGTCATAACGATTTTTTGGGTTGTGTAACCATTAGCCAATAACCAACCAAGGTAACCCCCCCCCCCCATATTATCACCTGAACAATCACCATTGTGTTCTTTTTAACCAAATATCTCTCATCCAAATATTTTCATCTAAAGTAACAGACAGAGAATCAGCACTTTTGAAACAGGGCTGAAACAGAGGGGATTATGGGATGCTACAATACATGATCTGTTTGGTGTTTCAAGCCAAACACTTCAGAGACATGTTTTCTTTATATCTGAGACCTTTTATATATTGATGAAAAACAGTATAATAAGGGACCTTTAACATAACATCACAATCAGTGAGAGAAAACATGCTCAAAGACCCTTTAGCGTGCATTTGATCTGGGATTTAGCTCTGTATTTACTGTGAGGATTGACTGGTGCACAAAGGAGTGCTTCAGTCTGACTTTATTGAATTGTGGAACCCCTGTATCTCAGATTAGATGGTAGCAGTTCATATTCGCTGTTCAGAACATGGTTTGAGTCAGAGATGATGTTGTTGTGACAGCCTCACTAGGTTATTATGATATAGGCTCATCCTCTGACCAACAATCTTTGAGCATATTTTTATCAGGTGGAGCAGTTTTGATTTTAAAGCAGTTGACAAACACATGTACAAGGTAGTATTACAGTACTGTAGAACAGTCAAATTCAGAGATGTAAAGTGGAACAGAAGAATGTGTCTTTTCGTCATGTGTCAGTTTAACACAAGTCTGAGAGGCAAAGCAGCATAAAGGTAGTCACAAAGGGGACAAAGTGCTGGTAACAGGAGCAGCAGTCGTTAAATGTCAAAATGATTGAATGTTAATGATGAAGTTGCAAGTTAAACTTCACTTATGAGGAACGTGACAGACGACATGTGCTGAAAAATACAAATGAAGGCCTGGGGAGCCTCAATAACACAGCAGAGTCTTAACTGACAGCTGACGATTTGACAGACAGCATTTCCACACGGACTGAAATGAGTGTTTCTTTATCTGTGTCCTCATGCCAAAGCCGCCGAACTTCATTAGCCCTGTGGCAGGAAAAATAAACTGACGGTAGAAAGTAATTTGCACTGTACCATGCAGGACTTTCTAATGGACTATCAGTGTGTGCTTTTACATTCAAATCAGTTTCTCTCCCTGCAGACTTTATATTGGCTTTGGCTAATAGTGACAGACCGGGTCGATGAGGACAAATGAAATAGTTTTGTAAGAATGTCCTGAGGAACGATGGGGAAGGGAGAGAGAGAGCGAGAAAGCGAAAATTAGTTTTCATGTGAAAAGGTGGTGCAGTGCATCCACTGCTGCATTATTAACTAGATAGTCCATTATCACTGAGAAACACACACACAAACACGCTCATAGACATTATATTCTGAGCACTGGAGATGTGCATGCAGGTTTCTAATGCTGTGTGCGCTCATTTCAGATATAGCCCTGCAGAATACTATACGTCTAGGAAGGTCAGGTCAGAGAGCTAAAGATGAATAGAGCGGGAGTCATGAATGAGTCACAAGTCTTAGATCCATCCTGAGCAGTGGTCACCATGTGTCAGTCACCAGTCTGAAGGCTCAGAGTTTCACTGGCTACAGCAGCACTTCCGCGATTATGGCTCCATAACTGGCGTATACACTCAGAGACGACCATTAACTCTCCACTGGGGTGGAAATGGGCATGGAGGAGCAGTTGAGGAGAACTACTCCAGTGTGAGAGATTATTTTGCTGCAGTATACATGATACCATCCATTAAGCTTTCTTATTTTTATCTACAGCTACGTCATGTGTTGTATGAAATATAGGTCAGTTACAGCACACATAACATCAAATATTAAAAACACTCATGGCTGCATACGCCAGCAAAACGTATAATTGATTTATTATCACCGCAAATGTCAACTCTAACAATTGTCTATAATCTTTTGAGTACTGAATGATTCACAAATGAAGTCGATAAAAAAAACACTTTTAATCAGCTTTTTGGTAGAACTGAACATATAACGATGTTTTGTGAAGGATTGTTGGTGCTCAAAACTTGGCATACATATTTCAGGCTCTGGACAATAAAATGTCGATTTAAAAATATGTTTATTCAAGTCAATTGAGATCGATACTAGACTGTTATTTAATGCTACATCCTTGTATTGGCTGTTACTCTAACAATGCTTACACAATATACAGCCTCTTCTGCATTCAAATAAATGCTGCTTTCTAACATCCAAAGGAACAAAATGCAAATTCTCACGAGAGTAGACTCAGACAGGGATACAGCAGGAAGCCTCACACTGCAGTGCAGGGTTCACCAGGAACTAAGTGCTCTCACTGCACCAGTGTGTACACTCTA